TGGGGTTAAATAACTTGTTGCCAGCTGAAAGATAATCGCCCATGCAGTAATTATCCAATAGGAGGCTCGTACCTATTTGCTTAGTTAAATCCAGGTGGCGGCTTTTTTTTTTGGCCAGGCAGTGTATCATAGTCAATTTAATTTGGCTTTCAAAGAAAAAATAAATCACAAGAAGCACTCATGTCAAAAGGAAAACAGGTTTCTGCAAAGTAAAATATGTTATTAAAAATATCAAATAAGTGATTGCGTAAATATTCACTTTTTAAAGTGACTCATCTAACTCAGCACAGGTGCAGTCTGTCTGTGCCACACAGTTTGTGAAATGGAGATCATCTGAGTGCAGTCAATGCGTCTCCAGTGATTGTAGTGTAAAGACACCTGCATCAAGAAGCTCCAGTCACTGGTGTATTAGTACTCCTAGATATAACTACACCATGAAGACTAAAGAACACCCCAAGCTGCTCCATGAAAAGGTTCTTGAAAAGCAAACAAAAAACAGAATAACTGGAGAACAGTTAAATCTGTCATTGAGAAGGAATAGGCATGCTTAAATCTAAAGCCTAAAGCAGGAAGAGACCAGGAAGAGACTAGTGAGGGAGGCCACCAAGACGCCTATGACTCCCCTGAAGGACCACAACTGTTGCCCAGGTTCTTCACGAGTCAAAGCTTTACGTGAGAGTGGCAAGGAGAAAGCCCCAGTTTAAAACGGCTCATGTTAAATCTTCTCTAGAATGCACCAGAAGGCATGTGTGAGACTCTAAAGTCAACTGGAAGGAAAATATGAGACTAATGCGATCAAAATTGAGCCATTTGGCCATCAGATGAGATGTTGTGTTTGGCAGACAAAACACCGCACATCATCACAAACAAGCATGGTGGTGGCAGCATCATGTCTCGGGGCTGCTTCTCTGCAGCAGGCCCTGGAAGGCTTGTAAAAAAAAAAGAGGACTGCAGCAAAGTATAGGAAAATACTGGAGGACAGGATGACGTAGTCTTCAACAGAACTGGGACTCGGGAGACGGTTTGTTTTCCAGCAAGAGAGTGACCCAAAGTATACAGCCAAAGCTACACAGAAATAGTTTAAAGTAAACAAGGTGAATGTTGTGAAGAGGCCGAGTCGGAGCCCAGACCACAATCCACCTAAGAGTCTGTGGCTGGACTTGTTTACCTGTTTAGGCTTGATCACCATGCAACTTGACAGAGCTTGAGCAGTTTTGGGAAGAAGAATGGGGTAAAACTGCAGTGTCCAGATGTGCAAAGCTGTCTCAGCGCTACCTACATAGTCTCAGTGCTGTAATTGTGGAGCATCTGCTAAACACTGACTTGAAGGGAATGAATACATATGCAAGCACTTATTTTATATTCTATATATTTTTTTTAGTTATTTCACATTATATTGTAGGAATCTGTTTTTCCTTCGACATGAAAGTCTCTTTTGTAGTAAATTCTTGTCCAAAAAGCCAAATTAAATTGACTGATTTAATATTGAAAAGAAATAAAAGAGGAAAAACTTCCAAGATGGATGAATACTTTTTACAAGCAATCCAGCTCATAACACAAATATCATCAACTGCAGCAAGACATCACCCCATGATCACTAGGTTCATAACCCACGGAAAAGAAAAACATCTCAGTAAAAGGTTTTCTAGTGCTTTGATATCTACAGAAACCTTGTCAAAATGTTGGTATATTGGGTTTTCAGGGAGAAAGAATTGGATCACAAAAAGGTATGTAACCAAAGAAATATACCCTGGACTGTAGCTGGAAAAATATATATATGAGATATTCACTTGCTCATGTGATGTGAAATGTAAGCCGGCTCAAATCCTGGATGAAAAGATTATCCGTTCAGTGATACCATCCATCATTATCAGTTCTTTTGTTGGACTTTAAAAGCCAATTTAAAACTGATTTGACCCTCCAGGAGAGGTGCTGTGTCGATGTAGAGGCAGGTCTGTAGAAAAATGATTTCCAGACAAGCGCTCTCACCTCTTTGTGTCCTTGGACCTGCGAGTTAACGAAAGCCCCGAGAATGTGGGAAGTGATTGGAAGGTAGGTGAAGATAAGCTGCGTCTCTTGATGAAGGCAGAACAGGGAGAAGTAGTTACGCAGCTCCATGGTCTGGATGGCATTCTCTTGCTGTTAATGTAAGAAAGAAAACAACAAAAACAAAACATGACATTCCAACCTCTTATTAACTGATGAAACACTCAGAAAGAAAACACTTGCTATGAGTCATCCCTTCTCTAATCGTATTCTTGCAACTAATCAAGAAACATTGCTAAAATAATGAGAACAGAGATTAGATGAGGCTTGCATTGCCCAAAACAAGAAGAAGCCCATAAATCACCTAATGGCTGAAGATATGGTATAAAATGGAGCTATTGTTTAATCCTGTTCACTCTCACATCGACGCTGGTGTATTTCCCCTTAAAAAAAAAAACAAACCCACAAAGCAGCTGAAGTCATGCAGATAATTATTCATTTAAGACACTGAAAAACAACAAGCCAGAGAACATTGCTGTCACATGTCTACTGTTTCCACCGTCTTGTTTTTGGGCTCACTACTGATCAAGACATTGAGTCTTCACTAAAATCTCAACTGTCGCACAGATCGTCGTGAAGTTTTGAATGGGCGTGCTCCCCAGATGTTGGAGATCCCCTAAGTTTTACTCCAGCAACGCCATAAGATTCACATCTGTGTTTTTTGGTGAAGCATCTCAATAACTACTAAATGGATAGCCAAGACATTTGACACACACATTTATGTTCATCCACATTATAATTTATCTGGCATTTATCTTTTCATCTACCACCGTCATCATCAGTTCAAAATTTCAGTCGTCCAATAATTTTGTTTTTGACCTAAATTCCTGAATAAAGCAGTTAAACTAATACAGAGCGTGATCATGATCACACTCATGATCTACATCATCCCGCTGCTGCACTGGTTACATTTCAGCAACGGTTGCTGTGCTTGCATCCACAAGTTACTTTTCAAACCTCCTCAACTTAGTCTTTTTTTTTTTTTTTGTCTTACAGTGTTCATTTTTTTAAATAAAATTGTCCTAAAACTAAAATCTCTGACACAATACCAATGATATTCCACATGGAAACAGACAGGACTACAAAGGTGGATTTACAAAACTCCAAACAAACTGTCTGAGCCAAAACTGAAGGGCAATTGGTCAAAAAAAAACAACAAAAGTAATATTAAGGGAAATGGTTTTTGAAATCAGACAGACACAGAAAAACCACACGGACTAAGAGGAACTGCAGTCACAGGATTAAAAAAAACAAAAAACCCCACCTAGGATATGAGAGTGTACAGTTAGTTGACAAATGGTTCTGATTGGGAGGCAATTAAAAATGACTCAGCTTTGCACCAGCGTTTTAAATGATGATTTGACTCTTTCAATATCATGGCTGTTATTCATTAAACTGCACTCCTCTATTTGCCCCCTTAAATTGAACCTTTCAAGGAAACTGAAATCACTGGTTAAATCCTGTCGGATACATTAAACACAGCAACAGAAAAAGATGTAAGAATTTTCTGATGTACACTGCACAATGCTAGGTGATTTCCAACTTCTCGCAGCATCTCATGACACTTTTTATTTAGAACAAATTGGGTGTTGTTTCACTATGTGTCATTTGTGAGCACGTTATGGGGGAGGGTGAATTTGTTTAATGGCTAATGGGGGGTTACAGTCGTTCTCAAATGTATTCATACCCAAGAAGGAAAAAGAAAATCTGTCACTGAAATAAGTAGAAATTGACAAAAGTAATAATAAATAAAAATGTAATGAAAATCATGACATTGCTTTTGAATTGTGGTTAAACAGAAATATTTTTTTAAAAAAAGAAGAAGCAAACAAGATGGGACGTAAACTAATATTTTGTTGAAGTTTTGTTTGTTTTTTTAAATTATTCTTTTCAACCACAATTCAAAAGCAACGTTGTATTTCACTAAATTGTAATTTAGCAAATTTTTATTTATTATTACTTTTTTCACTTTCTAGTTATTTGAGTGACTATTGTGAATTTTGCCTTTTCTTTAATGGAAGGGTATGAATAAATTTGAGGACGACTGTATGAGTGCCACTGCTATGCTACATACAATATGATTGGACTGTGTGTTTTAAGAGGAGTGGATGAGCAATAGATACACTCAGGCCAGTTTAGCATTTTATTTATGAAATGATATGTGAGTTACAATACTATGCACTCAGTAAGGAAGTGACTTAAGAGCCTAAAAGTGTGGGAAAGTACACACACAAAAAAAAGAGAATAATCACCTGAACAATCCGTGATTCCAGCTGCTCCACAGATCCCTGCTCTTTGGGCTGCACAGTGGCGCTCATCATCTGCCTCTTCATCATGCCGTACTTGTGCAGAGCTCTCTGGTGCTCGTGGAGGACGCCCTTCTCGTGTCGCTCACAGAGATCCTGGAGGAAAAACACGGTCGCACAAAAGCGCTTTTTATTTGACACAGAACACGCAGTAGAACAGAAATGCATAAAGTTTGGATGAATTCTGAAATTAGCATATATATTACAGAAGCTATGGAGAAAGCCACTTCATCTGCCCACCAGTTGCCTTGTTAAATCTAAAAAACTTTAAGTAGTAAGTAAAAATTGCATGTTCAATTGAAAGACTTCTTCGGTTAAAATTGGCTTTTACATGATATTCCGATTTTTATTACAAAACCAGCCTCTGTTCACTGTAAACACACAGCTCTTTACCGTGTCTCCATGAGGAAACAGCAGACAAAACAACATTACCTGTCATAAAGGGTTGGGAAACCCTGGGGGTGGACTCAGATTGAATGAGCACAGAAAAAAAAAAAAGAAAAAAGAAAGCCACTCACTCTGTAGGACTGCAGCAAATCCAAGAAAAGATTCAGTTTTTCCACAACATCATCCTCTTCCCGTCTGCCCTGAGGACATTAACAAAACAACATTTATTACCCGGCACCAGTTTTGGGACCAGCGAGATGGTGAGAGCAGGTGGCGAGGAAGAAACACTGAGGGCTATACCTGCTGGGCGGCTTTGTCTGATAACACAGCAAACTCCACAGACAAGCTCTTCAGAGATTGACGCAGGGTCCCCCAGGTGCTTTGTGAGGAGGCCAGGGAGGGAAGAGTCGAAGCATCTGAGCCCAGCGTACTGCCGGAAAAAAAAACAGCGTTATTACAGCGAGAGAATGCAATATTGTAGTGCTCTGGCTGCCAAACTCATTTCAAGTTAACAACCATGAAGGGACACAACAGAATTGAGGATTTGAATCTTATTAAGACAACTTCCAAAACCTCTGGATACAACACAAACTTTATACCCGCAATAATAATAAAATACCTGAGCTCTCTGCCAAACATAAGGAGATCAGTTGCATTCTCCTTGGAGCGCTCTGCCATTTTCTCAGCTCTGTCTCGCAGCTTTTGGAAGCTGTTGTGGATATTTCTAATCAGTTCTCTGCTTGTTGAGAACTGAGCCTGAATGTCAGCCGGCAGATACTCCTACAAAAAAAACAAACAAAAAAAACAGTCCAATAAAGCTTATCTGTGATGTTTGAATTCTTTAATACGTTTTTTTTTTTTTTAGAGAAAGTGTGTTAGGATTCGTCATACATATGTGACAAACCTTAGCCAGGGTGGCGATCCTGTTAGTCATGAACTCATCGCCAGTTTTCTTGTAAGTGTCACGCAGCTTAGTCTGAACATCCTGTTTGGGAAGAAGGGTGAGGAGTGGGTGAGTGGAAAAAGACACAGAGCAGCTAAAACAGGATGCATTTCGCTGTCAGTCATCGTGACGATAGCACTGGTTGTGCAACAGCCAGAGAGGGAAAAAGAAAAAAAAAAAAACGGCATACAGAACCGCTGAAGGTGAGGAAGGTCTTGACCAGCTCGTCCTCTGAGAAGAAGGGATGCCGAGCCACTAGGTTAATAAATCTGCCGAGAGCGCGCCTCCTCCCCTCGATGAAGTCCCGCTCGGAGACAGAGGTCAGGACTGTGAACGGAGAAAACTATTTGAATTAAGCATGCAAGAATGACACACTGAGCAGATAGTTGGCAACCTTAAACTCATGTCAGCGTATGTAATGTAGTATTCTTCCGACATTAAATGATAAATGCATGCCAGTACAATATGAAAAGACGAACACAGATGGCAGATTTACACATGTGGTGCTGCCTTTTCTACACTTGATTAAGACCTAACTAAACAATTTTCTAACCGAGTGTTTTTGTGAAGATTCCCCAGTGTGCTTGTGTGTGTGTGTGTGTGTGTGTGTGAACCGACATATTTAGCACTCCATAGCTACAATAAGTCATTGTGAACTGAAACCAGCTCATTTTATGCATCACTAGTTTCTTTGTTTCTCTTCTCTGGCAGTAACCTTGATGAATTGCAAAGCCTGTGTTTAAAACAATACAACCTGCAGGAAAAAGAAAAAACATTTATTCACGAACATTTATTCTTTATCAGCTATGAAAAAAAAAAAAAAGATCAGCTACTGTAGCCCCTGGATATTTACATTTTTCCCAACCTTTCAGTAAAGAACAGAAACCCTACACAGATCTGAAGACGGAGACAGGTTGACAAATGATGAAATGAAACTCAAAAAACAGAGCAAATGTGGAGGCAAGGAAGCAGAGTTCACAGGAAGTAACGTACCTCCCTTTAACATCCTTTTAGGTGGCAATGCTGGCACCACTCTGTAGGCAAATTTCTGAAGCAAAACCTCGTGGAAGACGTCGAAATCACTGTAACGTCGGTAAACTGATATTTTATAACGCTACAAAACAAAAAGCAAAGACGAAAAATATTTTTAAAAATGGGTAAAAGCATGCTTCACATAGAACTCTCCTTAATGTAGATTGTAAATGTTTGCTTGACAAAAGAGTTAATTAAATACTTCACTGTATATTTCTGCAACAACAAGTACTGACTTGCTAAAAGCACATGTAACTGAGAAACCATGACTTCTCAATTCTTAACATAAAGGCTGATGTAAGTACAAAAAGTCAGAGTTTCTTGCTTTTGAGGCCATTCTAACACAGTCATGCTGGTTTGATTGGGATGCCTTGCCTGGCTGGTGACCTGGTACTCCACATGTTTTAGGAACAGACCCTTCTTCTCAGGTATGAGCTCCACCTTGACCGTGTCTCGAGCCAGAAGCCTGTCCAGCGTCAGCGATATCATCAGCACGTCCTCCTGAGCCGGCTGCATCCTCAGCGCATTCAAGTCCCTCGGCTCCCCGAGCAGAGGTTTCGGCAACTCTGTCAAAGCGCACAGCGAGAACCAGCTTCTAATATTTGTTTTCCGTGACTAGATCAATACATCCAGACTGAATTTCCCAACTCTGAGGAATGCTGGTGTTAAAACTACTCCTCTGTGTTTCAGCAGGCCTCTGTGCGCTTCACTGTATTTGTATTGTGCGTACTACTCATGTGATCTGGTATTCATTCCTTCCAGGACATTCCAAGAAGGGCATGAATTGAATGTAATGCACTGCAATAAAAGAAGCAAACTTGTTCTGGTGCAGACGAGGAAGTGACATGCAACAAGCTGCCATGCTGGCCACACCTGAAATAACAGAGAGCGCCTTAAATAATCACAGAAGGTTGGGGATGGATCTAACTCCAGCCAGCATAATGGCTACCTCTATGAAAACCATAAAACTCCCCCCCTATCATCTTCCCGCTGTGGGACTAGTGCAAGAATGCAAGCCTTAAACATAGCTAAGGCTTCCCTACCAAAATAAAAATCTATCTAAATTAAACAAAATGTGGCTGAATTCAATCAAAAACCTAGCTTCTCTTCTGCAGCGAAGAAAACCAAAAATTATGGGGTTATATTTAGACAAATATTCCCAAATGTCCCTCTGTGGCTAATGTAAAGTTTTCAATTATACCTCACTTGACGCTGTGTGGGTTTATTCAAGTGATAAACTGCAAGAGAGAACTTTGCATCCACGCGAGCCAATAAAAGAGTGACATTTGCCCTGCACAAATGAAATATCTTAACAGTAGAATGACAGTTGAGGTTGCCCTTGGACACACTGAGGAGTTACCAAGCTACTCATTAAGCAAAAACCTTCGCCACACTGTTGTCACTGCGACGCCGCCACCACCAACCTTGTATGCAGTTCTCCAGGAGCTTGGGGCTCGGCTGCTTTCCTTGCTGAGCGAGAGCAATCAGGGCGAGCGCTTTATAGAGGGCCAACTTGCTCAGGAATCCATCTGCGGAGTCAACATGCTCAGCAATCTGGGAAGGACAAAGACAACATGACCTGAAGGTCGCGATTTTTCTTTTTTTTTTTTTTCAGGCTGAGATCTAAATGCAACTGTGGTTTTGCATTCCTCTACGCACAAAAAAGTGCTCAGTCGACACAAAGGAGATGATATGATGAAAGGTCAGGAAAAGGGAAATTCTACTGAACCATGAGTTGGCTCTGAAATATTCCACAGACATGAAACCTTGAGAGGAATTTCTGTAAGTAACGCTGATCTCTTGTAATATGAATGACAGTATCTATTAGCATTACTTTAAAAAAACAAAAACAAAAAAAAAACATGTGACAGGTTGGCAATTATCCAGCTTAGTAAGACTTTCCTCCTGTATCTGCTCTGTCTTCATTCCATTATAGTAACTCATGAACCTTGTCTTTTCAGAATAAAACTAGTATTTCAGATTATTTATCTATTTGATTAGCACCTTTCAAGTTCACTGTCCATTTTTTTATACATATATATACCAGCCCCATGTCACGCTTAGACATTAAATTAAGCATTAAGTATGTGAGTTAATATACGTAGGAATAAACAGCGGAAGGATGGATGTAAAGTTAAGGTGTATATCAGAGACAGAGGTCAGGACTGTGAACAGATACGAGACTCAAATTGTTTTAATTAAGTGTGCAACGATGACACCAGGAGTGTTAGAACTGACAGAGTTGGGACTATTTAACTGGAAGAAGGGCAGATAGTTGGTATAATCCAACCTTAAGCTCATGTCAGTGTATGTAATATTCTTTTGATATAAATAGAACACTAAAAGAGCCAATATATGTAGGAATAAACAGTATAAGGATGGATGTAAAGTAACATAGTAAGCTGTTTCACCTGTTAAAACCCAAGAAGTACAAGCTGATTCTTATTTGAAAGACTATTTAAAACCCTAAATGACTTGGGCTGCCTCGACATCAATACAAATTCTAGCTTGTTTTTATTGTTTTTTTTAATGAAGTGTTGCTTGTTGCAGCATCTTGACGACATGTTAAACTGTAAAAACAAAAAAAAACCCGCTCACCTGGTTCAGAACCGCCCTGGAGAGATCAGTCCTTTGGAGAAGTCGGTGAAAGACGTCAACCTGCACTCTCTCATCAGTCCTGCAGCGGATGGCTTCATACACTTCCCTGTAATAGGCAGGAACTGAGCCTGAAAGAGGAACAGCACCTTCATAGCATCACAACCGCTCCAAATATGTAAAATGTGACATCAGCGATCAGAGACCCCTTCGCCTATAGGATGACACTTACATTAGTGGAGGTTAGTGCTCAGTTTATGGCAGCCTTATCAGCTTTTATAGGTGGTGCTCACTGTATTTCACATCACATGACTTTATATTATCACAGCACAGATTGCACTGCTTTTACCTCTGGATCCTTTAAGGTGTCCAAAAGCTCAGTTCAGTACAATGAAAACCTCATGGGGGGAAATGTACAAAATGTGTGCTGCGTTAAAGTGTGGAAGATGTTAGGTAATACTGCAACTCACACCAAGTGACAGCTTTTCACTTGGAGGGAAACCAGCATCAAAACTTCCATCAATCATTCCCACCTTAAATACTAATAGAACCTATTACTGCAGCTCATCTGACACCGAGAAATCATTAACAGGTGATTACAAATCTGATTAACCGCGCGTCAAGGGGTTGTAAGATGGAGCAACTTCTTTCCGATCACAATGTACCCAAAAGTTCCCACTGGTCAGTTCACATCGCGGTTCCAAGCCAGCGCAAACACCCACGCTTTAGCACATCTTTAACGATACTTTTTCCAAATTTAGCAACGCCAAGCATGAAAAATAAGGCAAAAAAAAAGTGGGGGGGAAATACTTTGTTGTCTTAAAAGGACTGGAAGAAGTTTGCGCACTGTACCTTCATTGATCTCTCCTGCCATGGTTCAGACTGTCATGTGAGCGCAAGAGCACCTCCATGTGATTTCCTGCAGAAAAGAAAAAACAAGTAATTTATTTCTTAAAGTTGTACAGAGCGCTGGGTAAAGTCCAAGTCCGGAGAAGAGCAACCCGACTACTTACGTGCACTGACACCTAACGAGCACGACGTGACACTGTCTGGTGTAAAAAAAAATCTACAAGTTTTTGGACGCTGCTGTTGGCGTTTGAGTCCCAGTAGATCCGGTCTGTCTGTCTGTCTGTCCGTCTGTCTGTTAGCAGCAGTCTATCAACTAATGCAGTTCACATTTCTCTAAATTATCTGTGAAATATTATCTCATTCAGACCTGTGTGTTTCCTGGTTTCACTTGACAAAGTTAATTTGGCATATTCTCTGTTCCTCATTCTTCCAACTGGGCCGTATAGATGATGTTGCCTTCAGGGACCCCTCGTACATTTCAACTGCCTAACATTTAAATACTATGATTACAATATTTGGGTGTTACACTTTCAAAATCAAGTGACATAGCTGCAGAATGTGGGGAAAAAATCTGCATTTTGTTCACCATCATTTTTATTACTGCTTGTTAAGATCAGGGGGAACAAGAGAGGCCGAGGATGGGCAGGCCGAGCCGGTCGTACTGCAGTTCGGACAGGCACGAAGAGCGAGTTCCGCCGTCAGCAACCGTCATGACCTTTGTGACCGAGCACACCTCAGCCGAACGGGGTCCTGACAGAGGAGGGTC